TTAAATACAATAACAATACAACCTTAAGACTAAGCTTCCAATCATTTTAGTAGATTGAAACGAGAAATTAAATAAAAAATTTTCTAATAAACCAACAATAATTTCTATGAACTGAAGGAAGAATTAAACATTGATTACTGAACTACTGAAATTATTATTCTACGATTTATACGAAGGGCAATAAATATTCTATGAATATGAAGACGTGAACCGACACCGTGCAGGTATCCGAAAATAGATTGACTCGCGTGTGACTATAGTCGTAGGGGCAAGGTCAAAGTTAAGTCGAGACTCTTTGCTCGTTTCGCCAGGCTTTACGATGCAAATACGCGTCGCGCCGTGATCCGTGCAATTTTCTCTTGTTCGCCGAAACGGACGCCGGCGCCGTGACGCTGCATTCGTTCCCGCCACGAAAATAGTATACGCGTAGTCGCGCCGGATGAAAGGCCAGCCTGAAGCCGACAGACGGGCAAAACGACGAGTCCAAGGGGAGAGAAAATCGTGCCGAGCCGCGCGCCAAATCGCGTTTCCTTTGCCCTTTCCACCGACGCGGTCGAAAATAGAATCGGAGAAAGTCGAAGAACTTCGATTCAGAAACACCCTTTCACAATTTCTTTCGGAGTCGATTTCTGGCCAAGATTCATCGAATCGAGGCTTGTGCTCGTTCGATAAGCCCTCGGGGTAAATGAAACCAAGCGGAAACCGATGGGAGGTCATCGGCGATGACTCACTGACCGGGGGTGCGTCGATGTCATCGCCGGAATTAATTCGCTGGCTTCAGGGGTGAACAGCCTGGAAAGCAATCGTTAAATTAAAGGTAGAAACGATGACGCATTCAAGAATCGGTGAAAAATTACCTTAGCAAGAAGCTATCACATCGTTGATGACTTACACTGTAATAATTACAAGACGCAAGTAGTACAGATGTACGGAACATCACGATCCGGTCTTATTTTATCTGTTATCGAAAGAAATACTTGATGAGATTTCATCTCTTGTACATGGAAACACATTTAGAAACACAAATGCTACCTTGGTCGAAAAACGTGGGGTCTCGTGAACAGGCGGGACGAGAAAGGAGATTGAAACGAAGGAACGCCCTAAGAACTCGCGGGAGAAGATAGAATCGCTTTCGCGACGACAATACATGGAGATTACGCTTTTTCGCTCTCGCAGCAATCACTTACAAGATCCGAGCGTTAAAACGCGAGCGGAGAGAGAAAGAAACACGGTCGGAGCATGCACGAGTGCGTCGAGGAAGAAACAACGGACGGAGTGGTTGAAAAAGCGAACAAGAAGAAGAAGAAGAAGAAGAAGGGAGTGGCCGGGTACCGACGAGAAGAAAGAGAGAGGAACGGCGAAGGGAAACGCGGAGACAGAGACTAAATACGCAGGGTTCACGGTGGTCGATGACGCCGCGCCGCGCGACTCGTGGGAGCGAGCGTCGCCTTAAAACCGCTTACACTGGTTTTACCCAACTTGTAATTTCTCTGCTCTCGTACAATGGCCACGTGCCATATTTGTGCCCATAATTATGAAAGTGGTCTAAGTCAAAATTTAAAAAAAAATCAATTTATCACTTATTTCACACGACATATAAAATTATTATTATGTTAATTATTTTGATGGCTTTTACTAAAANATAAATAAAATTGATTAAAGTTTATATATATTGTTTTACTTGCACATCCGTTTTCAAAACAATAGCCAGGCACATGAGGTAAATTTTCAGAAATGTTGCCGGTCAGCAATGTATTAAACAATATAAACGAGCAATAATAATAGGACGTTAATGAAATTGTGAGAAGAGCATCTTTTTAAAATTGCTCTTTCCTCTAAACTGTTTTGAAAAAGTATTAGAATTGAAACCTTGAATTTATTCAGATTACGTGAATCTATTTGTATCGCGTGGGCGTGGAAAAAGCGAAGGCTGAATAACCAGTGAAAAGTAATTTCTTATAGCAATTGCGAAAGACTAGTATAACACTGTGGCTGACAGTTCTTATTCCGTTGGAAGCGTGTCCACTTTATTTGACGAGGTGAAAAAACGTCTTTGAAGAGGATTTCAAGTGGTTTAAACGAGAGATTCCCATGATTGGAATGGTTAAAGTCGATTATTCGCGGCTGCGATTTCCCATGGTCGACGCGGGGACAGGGCAACGGGAATCTGGGCGAAGACCGTTTACATGCTGTAGGTTGCATAACGGTTCCCAAGCAGCATCCACGACGTCTGACCAAAGAGAAAAACGCAGACACGTGCAAACACGCTTGACCCGTGGATCGATGCAACCCTTCACTGAAACGATCTATTGAAACCCTCGGCTGGTCCTCTGACCCAGATCACGCCTTTCAACTACCCTTTCGGTGCCTCGAACAGCTTCGACTTTACAGCGTTTAATAGCCTCGAGCATCGTCGACGGACAGTCGACTTGGAAGAATATACTATAATATCATAAAAAAAAAGTTGAATGCTTATTACAATGCGATTGCTCGAATTATCAGATTTCGCGCATCATTTTACAAACTCTCAGGGTGAACAAGTCTTCGATACGAATCGTTGAATGAATTTCCGTGCGAAGGGAGAGGCAGAACGAACCGAGTTCCACGAAGCGAAATCTCGTTACTGGCTCGGTGGTCGAACGGTATCCCCTAAAGGAGATCCTCTTGCCGGACTCCTTTGAACCGTGCTGTCTCGATCCACGACTCTGCCTATCTCTTCAAGGTCCGATTCATTCGACCGCAAACGACTTCCTCCGTGAGACTGTCCTCCCTTCTTTTCCCTTCGTTCTTCCTCCGCTTCGTCCAAATTACATGTCGCCATTCACTTTTCATTTCGATCCACATTTACTCACACCGATTAACGATGGTATGTCATTGTATGTAACTAGTATTTACTATTCACTGACCCAAGCGATATCAATTTTAGAATCTGAAACGAAGGATAATACTTGTTATTGCCAGAGTTAAGTAGAGGAAAAACAGAATATCCTCTTGAATTTTCCTTTTTAAGATAGAACAGAGTAGCTGGGGATTACCGGGCTTAATATAGAGTCATTAAATTTTCATTAAGCGCAATTAAACCAAGGCTACGAGAAGCTTATCCAAAAATGGTGCTACAGATTGCATCGTGGTCACAATTAAATAGGAATATATATAGAATCTATAAAATTAATGGAATATAATAAAATTAATTAAATGAATTCTGATTATAATTCCTTTTCGATTGAGAAACTTAATTCTCAAAACACATCTTAATATCAATCTGAACAATTTGAACAATGGAGCTATGGTCTTAAGAACGAGTTAATGCTGAACGAATGCCGAGTAGAAGATCGTCCGGCACGGAAGGACACCGGAGTCCAAGGAAAAAGAGGGGAAAAAATGGCACAAAGAACGAGCAGGATGATTCGCGATCCTGATGATACTCGCCCGTCCTTGAATCCGACGGTATATACAAGGTGACTTAACGATCCACGAGGATTTTTGCGAAATCTCTCATCTTCTCAAGGATATCAGTTTTTCAAAACTGCATTTTCCATTATTAACTTACATCCTTCTATTACATACATTCAAGTAAAATCAAATACGAAGTGAATTTGAGATGCTGTTTAAATGAGAACGTTTTCAAACCTCATACATATTAAATACTGCATTATACATAACGACGAAGCGAAATAGAAAATAATCCTAATGATATCAAATGGATTTTTTATACTTCCTGCACGATTGATCATAAAATCTGCATTTTACATATATGAAAAAAAGAATTATTCCGACGGTGATATTCGTGATTAATTTTCCTCTGCAAATAGCATAGGCTTATAAATAATTCTCGGAATCCGCGAGAGGCGAATAAACAATTCGAAGAAACCGAGGTTCTTGCAGAACCGATCTTATGAATAATATTTCTTTTTCCCCGGCTGCGAAACACTTTTACCTCATTGTCTTGCCACTTTTTATCCACAGGCACATAATTTATGTTTCTGGGATCAATTAGACAAAAATAATTCCAGATCTCTTATTGTTTGACGACGCCCGTTTAATTAATTAGCAAACAGAGAACTGATTACGAGAAGCTTCACATGATCAACGATGGATCTACACCCTCGTTCACAAGTCTAGTTGCAACTTTTTAACGACCATTTTCACTATAAAATATTTTAATCAAAATTGTCTTTTTATGCTGCTTCGTTTGAAATATAATTTAAGACCGTATTGGCTATATAGTCAATACTAAAAGTTTATGTACCTTAGAAAAACGCATTTCCTATCATTAAAAATAGTGCACTTTTCTTCTAATTTCGATATTTAATGAGTTAAGTATGATTATTTGGCATTTTATTGATGTTGACAAAATCCGACCATCCCAGCATCGAAACGGCAAACTTTTGGCAAAAAATTTCGTTTTTCCTTAATAACTCCTAAACCCTTGGAGATACGGGAAAATTGCATAAGACCTTTCTTGTAGAGGACGACGAGATCTACAATTTCCGTATAAAAACTTTTCACTAGCATCAATATTTAGCGAGTTATGAACGAAAAACGAAAAAACAGTTTTTTGCAAATTACTCGTAAACTATTGAAGCTAGCAAAAAGTTTTTATACGGAAATTGTAGATCTCGTCGTCCTCTACAAGAAAGGTCTTATGCAATTTTCCCGTATCTCCAAGGGTTTAGGAG